ACTCTCTCTGTTTAACTTATGCAAGAGTGTTTTCTCTTCTCATTAGCGTTAATCAGTTCACACTCTATGAACATGTTGAAAACAAGCCTTCACCCAGACCTGCACCACGGCCCTGCGTCACATGACTATCCCATGTCGCCGACGACAGTCGGTGTCTACATCACATCATGTGCTGCCATTTGACTGAAGAGGAAAAAAACAGCCGATGTTAGTGTGTGTGTGGGGTGTGTGTGTGTGTGTGTGTGGGTTTAATTGTGACGTGGTTGAAGCGAGGGTAAGTTGCTGGGGAGATTCTTGCACATGAATGCCTGATGAAGCAGCATTGGCTTCATGTTGTGTCAGGGCGACCCCCTTCTCTCCTCCTCCTCCTCTTCTCCACAGCAGCACACAGAACTAGAGTTGGCCCATCCTTTTAGCTCCCCTCAATCCTCTTCCTGCACCCGTGCACCTCTGAACGTCTGCTTCACATCAAAAAGGACCTCCACTACCTACACCTGCATCGCTGCTCTGGCTCAACTTCAAGGATTCAGGAAGAAAAAAATCTCTCCTGAGGCGCACAGTGTGAACGCAGGCATGCATGAACGTAGAACAGGAGGAGCTGGAGGAGGAGGAGGAGGTGTGTCCATGATGAAGGTGCCGTCACTGGAACATTAACAACAACATGAACAACAAGGAAACCCAAGGAAAAGAAAACAACATTCTTGGCGTGCCACGGTCTGACACTTTTATAGAGCCGCAGACACAGATCTCATCATCTTTATATAGACAGAAATCCTCCTTGTGAGTCACGTGTGGTGCTGATGCCACTGTGATGTGTTGTGGAAAAGAGTGGTTTTTTTTATGTGGAGCCAACAGTTTAATGAACACCAAATGTTACATCTGTCTTTTTTTTCTGCAACAAAAATTCAGAGACATCGATCGAATTTCTAATTAAAAGGGCATTTGTAACTCAGCTTGCAGAGACCCTAGACCCTAGACCCTAGACCCTAGATCTGGGGTGTCAAACTCATTTTCACCAGGGGCCACAGCAGCAATACAGTTCCTGTTGAAGGGCCGGTTTTAAATGGAAAACTGTATAGATCAGGGGTCCCCAACCCCCGGTTCGCGGACCAGTACCAGTCCATAGGTCCTTTGGTACCAGCCCGCAGTGAGACACAGCAGTGAAAAAATGAAAAAAATTCTAATTTACTTCATTCAAAAAAAAAAGTCCATTTACTTTCTTTATTTGACGATAATCTGGCAATATTTTGATGCTACAAACATGATACAAACAGAATAGAGTCTGGTATTGATGTAGCGCCTCCATAACAGACTAATACATGTATCTGCAATTGATTATTAATTATTCAAGCTACAAATATTGTTCATTGCTGTGTAATAAAAAAAAAACTTTTAATTTCATAGGTTGATAAACTCTGCTGCATGGACTTTATTAAATGTTTTTCAAGCTCCCGGGGGCCACAAAAAGTGGGTTAGGGTTTGGGCCTTGAGTTTGACACCTATGCCCTAGATCCTATATAAAACCTGGACCAAGTGCAGGCTGTAGTTGCAGCACAGAAGCACTACAAGGAGCCTGTTATGGAAGTGCCATTGTTTAAATGTAAAACGCCCTACTTCTACAGTAGGTACTGTCGACACATCAATCTGTCAATCACAGTGTCTATTCTAGTGAAGACCCGAACTTTTTCAAATGAATAGAGAACCAGTAGTTTGAATGTGTGTATTACCTGGAGCTAAAATGTTATCTCTGGTATTTAAACCTTCATATTAACAAGAACTGCTCTCTATTTGGTCCATTAAAGGTTTGGTGTGAAATTTTGCCATTCACTTTTTTTGAATATTAAGTATAGATATTTTTACATCTTGTCAGTTCGCAGCCCCTTCGTCTTTGTTTTGTTCACCGTGACCTAAATTCACTTTCTCCTCTTAATGACTTGTGTGTAGTTCTTATGTTAAGACAGCTAAAATGACCCTAGGATCAAACGCCACATGGCAGTCAGCCGTACAGTGACAGCCAAGGTCAGCCTACATCCACAATGATAACATCAGAAAACACAGAGGACTAGTGTTCTGACAGCCACATAGGCACAGGAGGGGGGTGGGGTGCGGGCTGAGGTCTAGCTTTAGGCTCCTTGGCCTAACAGTGACCCTGAAAATGCAGCCCGGCGGCAGTGGCAGCCAGAAGAAACACCACACGCCCTCCGGTTCCCCTCGCCTCAACTCAGGATTGGTCACACGTCCTGGCTTCCTGCTCCATTAGTGGCCAACTTTGGGGGAAACTGAGGGGAAAACATGGGGCAAATCTTCCCCCTGTAGCTGTGGTAACAGTGGCAGCAGCAGCAGCAGCAGCAGCAGCACGTGACTGGGAGTGAGTGAAGGGCCAGACAGACGGTGCAGACGGGTGAGTATGACTAAATAAAGGGTTAAGCGCGCATGAGTAGAAATAAAGTAGGCCACATCAACAAGGCTGCATGAAGAGGTGCCACTCTGACCGTACACCCAGATTAAAGGAATAGTTCATGTGTTTTGAAGCCCAATTATATGGGGTTAAGACATGTGGTCAACAACGACCGTCTCCCACAACTAGCCTGTGACACACACAGTGTCATTAGCAGTGAAACCAGCTTTTTTTAATGCTCATTGAAGCCTGGGTTCCAGCTGCAGAACAAACAGCCCCAAAGCTGCTGCTGCTGCTGCTGCTGCTGCCGCTGCCGCGGCCGCTGCGGGACCCATCCGCCGGTTTTAGAGGGGGGGCTGTACAGCCTACGTAGTGTTGAACAGATGTTGGTGGCAGGAGAGAGAGACGACAGGTTCTCCCACCTGCCACCAGGTTTGATGGCACTTGAGCCCCAAATCCCAGGTGGGGTGGAGTCAGAAACAGACAGTATAAAAACTAAAAGTCACGTCACCAAGAAACCAACTGTGGTAAAGGGACAAACCAGAAACTATTCTTCTTCATAGTGAATTTACAAGACAAAATCAATGTTTTGTTTTAACGGCTCCTGCTTCAGGACAGGTCTGTAGCTCTGTAGGTAAGTATCTGGAGGATGTGGGTTCAATTCCAGACTTGGGAGGTTACATGGCAGCCGTGCTGTCTGTAGGTAGATAAAAAACCCTTGAAAACCCTTTGATCGTTCATACAGTATTCAACTCATGCTGCAGTTGACCATGAAAGCCTGTGTTACAACAGTCTGAAGTGACCGTTCTGTTCTGACAGACTTTTGGTTGGCAATATAGAAAAAACAGCTGAAATAATAATTTTGTTATTTCCTCTTCAGGCGTCTATGTTAAAGTTGACGGTGTAGGCTGGTTCGACGCCAACAGCCCTCAGAGGGCACAGCTATACGTAAACATGTTTATTGTTTTGGTGGCATGCTGGACGGATGTTGTTTTGGGAACAACCCTCAGGCTGCTCCTCTCAGGAAGTGGACCAGCATCAGTGTGGACGCAGAGTGAAAGGTCCACTTCTTATTTCTGGACTTACTGTAATAGGCCTTCATTGCACTATGCCACTCCCCCCACCTCCCATCAACACACACACACACACACACACACACACACACACAGTGAGCTCCCAGTGAGTTGTTACACTCACTGCTTATGCAATACGGTTGAATGAACACAACAACAACACGCTGTAGTGTCATTAGCTGGCAGATCAAGATGTTCCTCCTCATTTATTCATTTTTTTTCTTTGTCTCCCACCTCCCCAGTCCCTTTATTTTCTATTCACAAAAACAGTGAGTGAGACAGAGAGACAGACAGATTTGGAGACAAACTTCGGAGGAAGAGAGGCAAAGGTTATGCTGTTCCACAATCTCTGCTCTGTTTAAGATGGGAAGGAAACAACACACACACACACACACACTCACACACACAAACACACACCTCCCAGCTGTGTGCCAGGATTTCTATCTCTGCTTGGACGCACCCTTTACAAACACATACGCACCCATAAACACACACACACACACACACACACACACACTAACACACACACTGTGTTGCAGATTTCTTCTTCTTTACCGTAATCTCAGATTACCGTCACTGTTTTGACACCGGTGTTGGTTCTACTCTCGTCTTCCCAAGTCTGAATTCTAATCAGATATGAAAAATGGAATAGAAATGCAGCTGAAACCCGTTAATGGTAAAAGTAAATGTCAGTGCAATTAACTCGCCCCTCTGGTGAATAAACTCATCTCAGCTGGGATCTCTGAGTTCCCGTCACAAGTTGAAAGCGGTGTTTAGTGGAAACCCGTGGCCCTGGCCCTGCCACGCTTAGACAAACAGCAGCGATGAAGGAGCACGCAGGCGCTGGAAACAGTCATTAACACATGGCCTCAATCAGGAGTCCTGCTCACAGTCCTCTCCTCCTGTCGCCCTGTCACCCCAATCAGTTTGACACAATCTGTTTGTCTCCGCTTCGCTCTTTGTCACAAACACACACACGCACCCTCTCATCCTGAACATGTATGTCTCACACACACATACACACACACACACACACACACACACACACACCTACTTGTCCTCACACACTGACACAATCTCCTATAAACACATGAATTTAAGAGCAGCTTTAATAAAACCATGTCTTTACTCCTTACCTCTGTAGAAGTTTGTGTGTGTGTGTGTGTGTGTGTGTGTGTGCAGACTACATTAACGACACACATGCAGTCTGCAGTAGCAGAACGCTGGAAGAGATGGGCTTGGCAACGGTGCTCAACATCTGGGACGTATTCATTTAATGCAAAACCACCGAGGGTTTGAAGGTAAGACGTGACTTCTCTCAGTCAGAGGAACAGTTCTGTTTCTGCTCCTGGGTTTAACAACTCAAGGCAGAGTCTGTACACAGTTTTATAAGGAACATGGTTTTATATCTTTTTTATAATTATATATATTGTATATATAATGTAAATACGTGAAGTTAGGCATACACAATGTTTTTTAGGTAGTTGAAATGTTGCGATGTACTTGTAATAATCTTTTGAGCTTGTTAGGAATGAAAACTTTAGGTGATGGAGCACAGTGACTGCCAACAATCTGTTAATAGCTCTTTTAATCACATTTCAAAGAAGCCTCAACAATCCCCTTTATATTGACTGACTGACTCTCAAGACGCCCATGAAGACAGTCAGCTAAGACCTCGCTCGAGCAGAAATCTTGGAGGTGCCTCGAGGCCACGACACCATTTCATACCAAAGAGTGCACACACACATTCACACACACATTTTCAGAGAAACATGCACACACACACACACGGACACTGCACAGCAGACCTCACCTCGAGCACTTCGGTGACCTTGAGAAAATTCCATTTCACCACACAATCTCCCTCAGCCTCCGCCTCCACAGATAAACCTTTAACCTTTAGTCTCACACCAGGTTGGCTGAGAGCTCTCTGTGTTGAACCACCACCACCACCACCATCAACACCATTAACACCACCATCAACCACCACCTCCCACTCCAACCTCCTCCCCCTGCCTCTCTTTCTCCTCATCCCTCCAGAGGAAGCGGATCCTGCTACAGTTAAACATCAAACATTCCTCACATGCTTCTAGGCGGCTTAAAGTTGTTTAGTAGACTTGACTGTTTAAGTTTTGTTTACATGCTCGGCTGCCTCTGCTGAAGTAAAAGGCTGTGAGAGCGTCGGGGTGAGTGAGCACCAGCTCCGGGTCATTAATGCACAACAAAGCGGCGGCAAAATCACACAGAAACCTTATTAACTTTTGAGGGATTAGGTGAAGAATGAACGTTTGTCTGGGATCTAAGAACATTAGCTCTCCATACTTTATCTTCTCTGGTAATTCAGCTATCGGACGAAAGGCTTGTCTTATCAATGCTTTATCACATCGTAGAACATTCTTTGTTAATGTTAATGCACTTTTCTTTACTAACAGAGTCATTTCCGTCTGTAAATTCTGCTCACATGGTCCAATCTAAATACATGCAGAACGTCAGAAGTTTTTGGTCTATGGACGCTTCTGGAAACTGTTTAAAACAGCACAGGCACATACTGTATTATAACATTTGACCTCATTACTGCCACCATATGAAGACAAAACTGTTGTCTGTAATTTCGTCTGATTACAACCTCAAGTAACCAATATGCAAATCCACCAAATATTAGCAAACAGTCATCCAAAAACCTGCCATCAAAGTATCTTACCGGTTTTGAAGATTTCATAGCGAAGCGAGAATCCTGCCCCCTGGTGGGCGTAGTCAGACACAAATCTGATCTGAAGGGAGGGGCCAGAGGAGATGATGGGCGCAGGAGCGATGTTGCTGCAGTGTCGACCCAGAACGTCAGCAGTTTCTGAAGTCCCGTCCCGGATCTCGATGTAGTCGTACCTGAGAATCGACGATGAACACAATGGTTACTTCCAGTTCACTGTGTTAAAGTGATGTCACGCACACAGTGTTCTCACACAAACTTTTCTCTTTCATAGTTCCTTCACGTTGGTCGCATTAAAACACCAGCTTTACACTCATATTGGTTTCAATACGGAGAACGTGTTAATCTGGGAATAACGTGTGTAAATGTTGGCATTTACACACACTAACAATTTTGTCAATGGGCAGAGAACTCTGGCCTCAACTGTACCAGGAGTCCACTTTAGGTCGTCTTGGGTCTCAGACCACAAAATATTGTCCAAGTTCTCGCCAGGCCTAAAGTGAAATTGCCACACAGTGACAAACATAGATGGATGGTAATGAAGTTATGCAATGAGCTAAGCTAATAAAAAAAGAGACAGGTGTGGATTTATTTCCACTCGGAGTTGAGCCTCAGGACAGGCTGAGACACGGCGTCCAAGAGTAGCATTTAGGGACACAAATTTGCAGCTGAAGTCAATTCATCTCTGACGCGGCTCTCACTCAACTGAATTTAACTTCCATAACTCTACTTCTGAAGTTTGCTGTCCAAAAATTTTAAAAATATCAGATTTTGATCTTAGTGCGCTGGCTTGTCAGTTAGACACAGGAAACTGACAGCTGAGTGTAATAACAAGACACATAAAAATAGACTGACAGACCTCATGAAAAAATAAAGCGGGGAAGGCAGGGGGTGAGGAAAGGTGAGGATATTTGCAGCTCCTACGTGGGCGAGGAGGAGAAGTTAGTGAGTAAATGAATATGGAGACACTTTGGTCTTTCACCTCCACATGCTTATGCTAGCAGCTTATTTCGACCTGTGACTCACCACCTGACCCTGGACTGCACATGGTTAGCTGTCAGGTCAGCAAGTGTACGGATGTGTGTTTGAGGTAGAGAGAGAGAGAGGGAGAGAGAGAGAGAGAGCATCCACCTGGCTGGTCCAGAATTAGCCCTGTGTGTCATTGCCCTTACATTATTAGACACATGCTGCTGCAGCTGCAGTCGCATAAACAGACACAGCAAACTTCACTGCCCTGTGAATAATGTTGGTTTTTTAGAGATCAAAGGTGCATTTACAAAAATAAAAAAGAGAAGCTAACAATCAACATATACATAAAACATATATGTCAATATAAATATATGTGCCACAGATTTCTTTTTATTTTACGTTCCAGCAGAAGGAAGTCGTTCACCTGCTACTGCCTGCATTAGCATCTTCTAATGTGTTTCTTTTTTTATATTCTGTCCTGACAAATTTTCTGCAACTTTGCATGAATGCACCAAATGCTGTGTCTTCAGAACAGCAGGAGCATCGTGTGTTCTAAAAAGAACTTGTGTTCTTGACTTTTTATATGAGGATGTAAATTTTTCTTTTAGCCGGGAAGTGCTTGTGCGAAGGGAAATATAAAGAAAACGCCTGGAACTGATTGTTTATTTTTGTTCATCATCATCTTCCTGCTATTTTTAAAATGAACTTAAAGTTTTGCAATTCCAAAGAATTTCATTTACATTTTGATGGTTTGTTTGTTTGTTGATTTTCTTGGGCATAGATCAGAAATTTAAATATCCTCTCTTCTGATGTCTTTGCCAAAAACACCAGTTTTCTCTATGGACTTTGGTATAGAAAAGTAAGAATGCAGTCTTCAGTCAAAAGTGCTGACTGTCAGTACTGAACAAAGATGTAGCAAATCCATTTTTTAGACATCACAGAATCTGTGTGACGTTAGAATTTGATAGCCTTTAAATAATTGGTTACAAACTGGTTCGTCGCTGGTTTTCACGGTTATTCCTTCAAGCACAATGATTAAACTGCAGCACAGCAGAGCAAAACGTCCATCTCTGCTACGTATTGATAACACTGGTCTGAGGGTCAGAGTCTGAGCTCAGACGGCAGTTATGGTCTGATGTTTCAGATCGATGCCTCTCTGGAAACGACGGGGCTGGGCCCAGCCCAGACAGTGGTGTGGTCAGCGGTTTGGCCCCAGTCATCTGTAAGTATGAGTCTGTGATGGACAGGAGCGCAGAGGGAGGTGAAGCATGAGGAGATGAGGGAGAGTAGGAGTGCCATTTGTTTTTTGGGCTCGATTGAAGCTGGCAGCCTCTGCAGATCTGCAGGGATTTTGCTCACAGCATCTAGTTAATATTTCAGAGGCACTTATGGTTTATTAGAGTCCCCTCTTCCAGGGCGGGAGGAGTGGGATGGAGTGTGTGTGTGCGTGTGTGTGTGGGGGGATACCACACACCCATATCTTCATTTCTGCAGCACTGAGAGAGGCATAGACGTTGGTTGGGGATCAGGATCTGGATGCAGCAGCGGTTGTGTCTGAGCGTGGCCAAGTTTGGATTCTTGGTCGTTCAAGAACAGCTGCTGTTCTTTTATCCACACAAACAGAATAAATCAGATGACGGCGATTCACCCCGCAGCCAGTGATGTGTTAATCTGTGTATCTTCCATTTACTCAATGAATCCTTTATGTCAGCAGTAAAATTAATCTGTAGGAAATGACAAATTTCTCAGAGACGGGTGGTGGAGATAATGACGCCTGAACTGATTTCACCACAGATTAATGCAGACAGTGTTTCATTAATGTGACTTTTATTGATCTCTGGTTCATTTTCATCAACCAGAGAAGAATCTGAGAAAGCAATCTATTTAAAAAAAACTGCATGTTGACTTGTAGCGGAGACAAAGACAACGCAGATATCTTACTATACTTCTCTTTAATCTACAGAATCTACATACTTCTGCATTGGGTCTGTGCCCTCCCAGGAGTCCCCACCCTCTAGTTTACAGAGCCCAGAGTGAGATGAGGTAACTGACTGGTGCTTACAGCAGCAGGAGTGACCACTGGTGGAGCCCCGAAGGCCAATAATAGTTGAGTGATTAAAAAATGTAAACATATGTTGTGTATAATGTGAGAACGATGCCGTCATGTTCCTCTGTGAAGCCTGCAGGGAACACGTTCAGGGCAGACAGGGGAGGTGTGAAAGGCAATTAGTTGTGGTGGTGGTGATGCAGAGGGCTGGACCAGAGGAGAGGAAGAGGAGGACAAGTCTGGACTGGTGAAGAGTCACTGGCCCTTAAGGGGTTTTAGTTTCCGTTACCCCTCACTCTGGAGCTATTCTCTGTGGGTGTAGGTGTGTGTGTGTGTGTGTGTGTTCTATAGGAGTTCCCTAACACACCACTGATCAAGTACACACACTCAGAGCAGCTGTAGACGGACAGAGAACTGCCTGGGAAGGTGTCAGACATTTACTGTCTGACACCACCACTGTACGACAGTTAAGCTAACATGCTACGTCTGAATGCATCTTAACCTGCAAAACTAAACATTTGGTTTAAAAATGCGTAAGAACCGAAGCCGTCGGTGCCACGTCTTTGTTGCTGCACCTCCTCTTTAAAGCTCGACCTCTGTCTTTGACCCAGTAAAAAAAAAAAGATGCTGTAAAATGTGGCCTTTAGCTCCGAGCTAGCACACATAACTGGACAAGAATGAAACCTCTCGTAACCAGGACGTTTATTTTCCAAATGCCAATAAGCTGGTCAAAAATGTGACCTGATATTTTCAAGTAACTGACGGGTGATCTATAAAATGTCCTGGAATGTGCTGGACACAGTGTGTGTGTGTGTGTGTGTGTTTTCGCGCATGTTAGAGAGGCAGTCGGTTCTCATGCATGTATTCATCAGAGCCCAGGGAGTGTCTGAGCGTACAGGTCAATAATCACATCTGAGGGCCACTCACTCACTGACAATAATCCATGACAGGAACAAAGTGAGACCGAAAATGAGGAAGAAGAAGAAGAAGAAGAAGAAGAATCTGACAGATAGGCAGGTGGCAGAAAGAGCGAGAGCGAGAGAGAGAGAGAGAGAGAGAGAGAGAGGCCCACTCCAAAATCAATTAAAACCTAATTAGACTCCCAGCTCTTTTGCAGGGCCTTTCATCCTGGGTGTACAGTGATATGGTGTGTGTGCCGTGCACTGTTTGTCTTGGGCGTGCACGTCGGCCTCTAGATGCGTTGTTTGTTGGCACACTGAGATGTGTGTGTTTCCCAGCACGTGTCAGCTGAGGCCCTGAGCGAGCGTGTTCAGGGCAGAGCTGTGTCTCTTCCTTTGGCAGCTTGTTACTGATGGAGTCTTTACGACTGTGGACCAGATCAAGGTCTGTGGCTTTAAAAAAAAAAAAATCTTCATTCTCCTGCTGCAGGGGGCGTTGCAGCGGAATTCCTAATTAATTTATTCCACCACTACAACTGGGTATTAGGACGTGTCATAAGAGATATGTTCAGAAGTGGTGGACATCTGTATTAAAGTACATTTCTGTCAACAAATTTATTTACATCGTCTGTTTGTTTGTTTTTTACTTTCACTTCTATTTGGACTGAAATGTTTATTTTCACCAAATTCCATTGAGAAAATCTATGATTTTACATATTTAAAAAATTGTGGTTCAAATAAACCGTTGGTCTGTCGCTGACACGGTGGACGTCTAAACTTTTAAACAAGAAATTTGAGCAGTGGAGTGAAAAGGTGAAAATGCAGGTAGAGGGACACATCACTGCAGGTGAGGACATCGTCCTACGTTGGTACTGTAACTGACTCAATGTGTTCTGTTTGTCTGACCTGGCTGTTCTCAGAAATCTTTTCTGCTGCGGTCCAAACTTCAGGACATCTGAACTCAGCCTTTACTGCTGAATGAGCTGTGTTTATAAAACACTTTGCTCATCTTCAGCAAACACGTGGACAGCTGTGCTCTGCACTATTGTCATTTAGCCGTTCACTCACACATTGATCAAACAGCACTGACTCAGCCTCACGCCTCGGAGAAACCTCCAACTGTTCCTTTAAACATGAACTCCTCGGTGTCAGACAGGAGCAATTGATCCCAGACAGATATTGTGAATGTGTCTGAAGTCAGGTAGTCATTATTTCATCATCACCGCAGCAGAGGACAACGCTGAGACGCTGATGACCGTGATCTTGTCCTAAATGCCAGATATTGACAGATCAGAATCTGAACAACTCCCTGTAGCAGTGACCTGTGGCAACTCATCTGTCTCCCCCATCACCTCTCCACCCTCCTCCACCCCTCACCCCCTCACCCCCTCACCCCCTACAGGCTGCCGCTGATCCTTTTTCGATTTCCCCTTTGCACCACGAACACAGCCACCGCTCCCC